CGTAACTCACCCTAACACCCCCACCTTCACACATACACATGCACACACACACCACACATAGACACATTACTAGCACAGCATTCTGGGTAGGGCACTGAGGGCCTTTTTTGTTCTTTATGAGCACCCAGATGAACGCTTCATATAATGGCACAAAAAGGCACATGTGGGCGCTTGTGTGTGTGTGTACATGGAGATTTAATAAGGCGGACTCTGCCATTGCTTGAGTTATACCCATGCGTTCTTTTCTCCACCAGGGCTCTCTCAATCACACCTCTGCTGCAGGTGATAGAGCATCCTCAGCCCACGGCGAGCAGGCAATTCATGCGGCTCTATGCTCCATTCGCACTCTATGAATAACAATGTCAATGGGATGGATGCACCAGGGCCTCGTTCACTATTAATCACAAACTCACAGAAAACATAATGCAATGCTCTCCATACAGCAAGGACACACATATAATAGTGACATAGTGCTCATCACACAGCTTTCTGCCTATTATCACTTCACTGCGCTGCATATGACGAAATACTTGGGGCTGCTTTTGTTGTAGCAGTTAAATCTGAACGCAGCTCGCTTTCAGTTTGCAGACTGACTTAAATCCTTAAAATCCCAGGCTTATTACATACTAAGGCTTATTATTCAGTAACTACAGGGGCTAGTTGAGCTATTCTTAGGTTACAGAAGTTGTAATGAAACTTTGGGCCCGCCCATGGGCCCTGGCCATTTAAGGGGTTAAACTAGTATAGTGCCTCGGGCAGATGTGCAGAAAGACTGACTGTACGACTGTAAACACAGACAAAGATACCATCTTGGGGTAAATGTAGAGCGCTCCATGCAAGCTCGTTAGCCGCAAAAGGCATCTTGACGGCCACATTAGCCAGATGGCCACTCGGTGAAGAGAGGACCTAGGATGCTGACTCAAGCATCCTAGGGGCTGAGGAGATGCAAAGAAGGTTATGAGAGAGAGAGAGAGAGAAAGAAAGAGAGAGAGAGAGAGAGAGAGAGAGAGAGAGACAGAGAAAGAGAATCAACTCTGCTTCCACAGTCGCTGTTGGCCACTATATGCTAGTATACCAGGAGGGCATTAAGACACAGAAAGCATTTGAGAAAATCAATGCTCCCCTGGACCAGAGCCGGTCCGCTTTTTATTCTCCGCTCCCCAGTTAAAAAAACCAAAGGCTGGACTATTTCAGGAATTAAATCAGGAGTCACCTTGCTGTGTATTGAGGGGGGGTTAGTGGGTGGGAGTAGTAAGTGGGATACAACTCTCTCTTTCCTCTAACTCCTCTTTAATTCCTCTCTCCTCTCCTTCCTGAGCTGCTATTAGAAAAACGTGCTAACCTACCTTTGCTTAGCCCAGCAAAAAATCAAATTTACACAGTCTCCCCATTAACAGAAATGTAGTCCATCAGCCAAGATATGCCTAGTGTCCAAGGTTTTGCTTCTGTATTTCTGCACTGGAGCCACATGGCTAATGTAGCTAACAAGTAATGGAGGCTAATATGTATCTAAAGAAATTAGCAAAATTCGCTCTTCAAGATGCTATCTGTTTTTCTGTTTGCAGTTACATTATGCACTGTTCTCTATTTTTACAGATCACAGTATATCATATAATGTGAGATACTAGTCTATTAACCATGTTATTTACTTAAAACATGATTTGAGGCAAGTCATATAGCTCGGATGATAACTACATTAGCCTACATTAGCTACTATGCATGATAGGCAATAAATTGGCCATCGGTATGTCTTTGCTGATCCACTATATTTGGAGTATATCTGTGTAAATTATATTTTTTTCATTAAACTACATCTTTAAAAGTCATCTAAAACTTCTGGCCACCCATGTGTATCTATACACATGATGTTCAGTGAAAGACAAGCTCTTCCACCCACACTACATCCAATCAGAATTGACTTCTGAGTGACAACTGTCTTGTGGACAAAATGTAACAGAAGGAGGGATTTTGTGAAATACATATGTGTGTGTGTGTGTGGACTGACTGCAGTCTTTAGTCGCCTGCTGAAGCGAGAGAGTGTGTCTGCATGTATGCCCGCAGAGACCCGTTGACTCATGTAGATGAGTGAGGATGCGCCTGCAGGCAAGGAATCATTTGACGGAGGTCAGCGAGGTCAGAGTTGGGAGTGACACTTTGTTAACTGAATCTGACCAGACCAGGGCTCGCTCACACACACACACTCTCTCTCTCACACACACACACACACACACACACACACACACAAATGCAATTACCTTGCACAAGCTCACCATCAGCTAATGAAAACGATCGTCTTACCCATGAATCTCAGACAGTGGGGAATCGCTTTCCTCTATTCTCCTAATATGAAACCAGTCAGTTTCTCTAAACTCAAACTGTCAATACCAGCACAGAGCTGGGACTGTTTAGGCTGTCAAACTCCCCAGACAGGCTATATCTCTAGATCTAAGTACACAGTCCTACTCCTATAATAACAAATACTATGTTCTGATCAAGTTTTTTTGCCCCCAATCTCAGTCCAAGTCTTTAATTGTTGAGTATCTGATATTTATATTCTTGTATATAATACAGCTGCATGCAAACATTATAGTTAGTAAAAACAATTCAATTTAAGTAACATATACTAGGCCACATGAATTAGCTATAATAACATCACTTTATTTTTAGTATGTGCATAATGCAGACACAGAGTCAGGGGGTCATTTAGTGGGGTAATATCCCTCTAACCAATCATCATGCCCCACTAAACCTATTATTTTGCACATGCTTCTAGAGTGGCATGCTGTGAATCGAAGTATAGCTGTATCTCGTGTGTTGCTGCATTACACACCCCATAAGAACAGTGATTAACATAGGAGGGTTTGCATGACCATTCTGTGTTCGTTTCATTTAAGGGATGTGGTTTTTGTTGAGGGAAAATAAATTAGCAGACAGATTTCCTAAATGAGTAGGCTTTTGGCGATTTGCTGTTAATGTGGCTGTCCTGTTGATTCTCTCCTGAGTGTGATTTACGATTGTCAAACTCATAATAAAGTCTCCACTGAATGTTTATGCGCTACTTTTTCAAAATGACCACTTCATGGTGTCTTAAATGCATAACTTTCTTATCTCAGTCTGCACTAGCGTAAGTGAAGCATTGCTTTCTCTTGGATTTGAACGCACTGTTAGTCTTACTACTAAGTGCACATTTTGTGTGAGGCTAGTTTAACCGTGTTTTGATGAAAGGTGGCTAGCTTAACCACTACCTTTGCAGGTAATACAAGTGGCTATTTCCCCCATTAAAGTAGTCCCTCAACTGCTGTTAGCTTCTGAAAATGTGCCTCCCTGCTGCACGTCGTTTATAATGTCCTCATGTCACCTCTATTACAGTGGCACAAATAAAACTCCACTCAATGAGAAAAAATAGCCTTAACTAAGAATTGGAACTGGATTGAGTTTAACATTGTTGATACTGATCCATAAAATATGCATCAATTGGTTCCATCCTGATACAGATCAGATTGGGATGTCCTTAATAAGAAAAAATAAACATCCTAATATGCAGCACTGAGGCTGGAGAAGCAGGAAGAAGTCTGCTTCATGACACCAAGTACAGGCTTCCAGCACACAGCAGGACTGAACTGACCCTTGAACTGCCTCTTGAACACGACTTCCATCAGATAAAGCAGGAAACCTTCCAGAACTGCACCGCACACCCAAGCCTGGGAATGCGCACAGCAGCCGAGGCCGCATACCACGGCTGATCTTTAACTACAAACAGAGCAAGTGGCCCATTAATTGTAACCTTAACAATCGCACTCTCCCATTCATTAGGACGAATTATCGATAAGCTGGGCTTGGGCTCCAGCCCTGACCTGGAGATGCACACTGGAGCTGGGGAATGTGCCGTTTATTGTTGTAGGCAAGAGACGAAGGATGTTGGCTTCCAGAGCCTCCACTCCTTCCACGCAGGAGAAGTGCTGAGCTTTTGAACATGGATATTTCTTCTCTAGGTCAAAGAGCATGGTTTGGCTCTAGATAGGGCCCATCTGTGCGTGCTTTGTGTCCATTTTTGGTCAATTTGTTGGTTGTCTACAGGGCTGCAACGATTAGTCAATAAAGTTGTCAATGTCCATTAGGAAGAAAAGCAAATGCGGACTTTTGATGTGTCATTTACTTGAAAAAAAGGCGCTCAATGAGGCTCGATAATGTTCATCTGATAATGCAGTCATTTCGACAGATTTCAAGACACTACAGGAAGTGTTGGAGGCAGCATGACTTCTATTGTTTAGCTGCGCTGTGAAAGGATAAATTGCTTGTAGCATACATGGAACTTGGAATAGCATACTAGAGGGATTAGCTGATCGAAAAACAGTTGATGGGTTAAGCAACCACAGAATTAGGGGGTCATTCAGGCATGCTGTGTCTCGTGGCAGACTAACCAATTGACTGACTAATATTTCAAAACTGACACAAATATTAATAAACAGTAACCCTTTTTTCACATTTTGATCCTGGTAATTGTTGTGCTGACTGTTGTTGCTTCATAGACAACAATGAAAAAAGATGTGCATTTGAGAGAGTCTGTAAAGGCATCGTCTGAACTAGGGCACTAGCTGCACAACACGCCATGAACAAAATGGTAAGAACGGTTCCTAGGTGTGCTATTGAGAGCATAAATTTGTCAAAGTCCATTAGTGTAATTGCGAGTGGTTGGGGAACATTACTCACTGCAATATCCTGAGGACATCTATCTTATTGAGCTATACTGATTAATTGATTTCTCATGATTGCTAAGCTTATCAAGTATTAAGACAAATGAGCCAAAGGACACAGACCACAGCTGCAGCTCTTGGGGAAAATTTGTTCCCTTTCTATTGGGTAGATAGTGTAATACTTCACAGCCTGTGCTAAATAGAGTGGACAAGTTTTTCATTTATTCTGGCATAATGGAGCGAGACTTTAAATCTTTTTTAGGGTGACAGCTGTTTAGACGAAAGCGCAAGCAGCACTGTACTTACAGGTTCTTGACGTTTGTGATTCCGCGGAAAGCCTTACGAGGAATGGCCTGAATCTGGTTCTCACTGAGGTCCCTGGAGAGAGAGAGAGAGAGAGAGAGAGAGATGAAATGTTAGGAGAATGTTTGAAGCCACTTCACATTTCAGAAGAAGCATCTGAGGCCAGATGGGCATTGAGACGCTCCAGCCTCTCTGAATGATATGACTCCGCTTTGAAGTCCAAAACCAAATTGTTCAACAGACCATAAATGTCACATCTTCCTTTTTTCTTTTGGCCCTCCATCACCGTGAATGTGCGCGTGTGTGTGCCTTTAATGTAAAACATTTCTAAAACATTTCCTTCGGAGCATACTCCACGAGCCTTTTATTATTCTCAGGAAAAAAAAATAGAGAAATTACATTTAGTTTATGTAACATGAGAATGTAAGCTGGAAGAAAGAAAAAAAAACAACCATCTCTACACAAAGACATCAGCATATTAATGGCCAGCAGTTTTTATTTATTTATTTGTCGTCGTTTTTTTAAGCGCGGTTATGAGCCAAATGATTTTTGACATGTCACAATGGTTTTGCTTAACTTTATTAAGCTTGTTTGTTTGTAGGCTCATGCCAGCAAATATAATTTGAAAACCAGAATGCAATTACTGGCCAGAGAGGAAACAAATGAGATATGGAATATCTGGCCAGCTAATCGGAGCGTCTGCCTCGCAGTCATGCCTGCAACACACAACATGGAGAGCTCTGAGCTTGGGTCAAAACGCCTGCCCTTGCTACAACCAATTTCACTGATAAACAATCAGGCACGGCTCCAAACACTCGGAGGCCTTCTGCCAGGCTCCCTGCGTTCTCCCTAATCATGCATCACCTATCGGACTGCCAGCAATTTCCTCTTAGGAGCATTATACAAACAGCATTTATCAGCTTCCCCCTCCTCCCTGCTTCCCACTAAAACTGGATATGGACGTGTTTTTTAGGAATCAATCAACTTTTATTAGTGCAAAAAAAAAAAATCTTAATAACTCTGTTATGCTCTGCATGGAGAGAACATAGGGTTTGGGGCTCTGGCTGCTTTTGATTGGTTCTGACATGTTCAATAGCCTTGTGTTTTCTTGGATTGCCTGTCTTTGTTTGCAAGTGCTTAGGTCGTCTTGATGTGAACAGCGTGCTCTTTTGTGTATGCTTCCCTCAAAAACGCTTTGAGCTCCATGCACTGTGGAGGCAAACTGCATTAGCCATAATGGCTACAGAGAAACGAAATAAGCCTGAGCAAACGTGCCTCACTGTGGCCTCCACATACTCGCCTGCTGACTTTCATGGTACAAATGCAAAGCAGACATAGAGACAAGTGTGTGGAAGAAAAGAGAGCATACTTGTGGTCACTTTTACCTACCAGAATTTTAAAAATCTACTAGCCAGTCCTAGCATAGGACATGTGATGTTCCTAGTCATCGCTAGTGCAGGAGATGCTAATACCCAGTATTCAGGCAGGAGATGTGATGCTAATAGCCAATCCTAAGGCAAGAGATGTGATGCTAATTCACAATGGAGAACTCCCTGTGCGCCTACACACTCCTTATAACTCTAGTTTTGAGGCAAGAGATGTGATGCTAATAGACAATCTTAAGGCAAGAGTTGTGACGTTAATATCCAATTTTGAGGCAAAGGATGTGATGCTAATAGAAATCCTAGCGCTACTAGCCAATCCTAGCAAAGGAGAGCAAATGTTTCTAGCCCATCTTGGCCCAGACCGCTACTAGCCAATTCCAGTCCAGGACACAGGATGCTACTAGCCACTTCTAGCAGTGGAGATATGATGCTACTATCCAATCCAAGTGAAGAAGATGTGATGCTACTAGCCAATCTTAGCATAAGATATGTGATACCACCCACCATTCCTAGCACAGGGCTTATAATGCTACTAGCCAATCCAAACACAGAAAACATAAAGCAACTAGCCAACTGTAGCACAAGACATGTGATGCTACTAGCCATTCCAAACCCAAACTGCAAGATGCTACTAGCCAATTCTAGTCCAGGGCACAGGACACAACAAGCCAGCCCTAGATCTCACTATCCAATCTAAGCGCCAAGAGCGCAGCACTGCACTTCCACGGCTAATAAATGTTTTATTGTTTTGTTTACTCAGTGGAATTTTTCCCTCCCATCATTCTGACAAAAAGGCAAATTGTCCCAGCCAAATAAGAGCAGTTATGAGGAACTATCACTCTCTGCGGCGGCGAACAACTCGCAGCTCCTTTTGCAGAGTGACAGTGAGATGAACTTGTAGGCGAGCAGGGAACACGCCACAGCAATAAGCTGCATTAGGTGACGCTTAATGAATAACGACTGGAAACTCGAAGCTGTGGCTGTAAAGAGATAATGAAGGTTTATGAGAGTGAATCTTTGTGCCAGGAAAAATAGCGACACGCACAGTATTCATCTTCTTTGGTCAGACTTCTAAATAAAGTGCAAAGAGCCAATGTAAACATTTTCCTCGTGGCTCTATTCAATATTCATACTCCATGAACTATTCATGGTTGCGCGTAGGCCTACACAAGATCATTCGGCGCTGCGGCCTGCAGAGGTCAGCTTCAAACTAAAAGAGGACGTTGCTGAATCTCTCACATGCAGATAACATGTGTGCAGGGGGGAGCGCATCCGTCTCCCTTCTCTGACAATCTGCTTGCAAATTTCATTAATTTTATTTTCCTTTCGCCCTCCTCCTCCTGACTCACAGGACGGCTGCCATAAATCTCCTATTGATTCCATTAAAGCCTCCCATGTCCAGACAACCTGGCAGCGGCAAAACATATTACTGATAAAAGCTGTACAACACACAAGGATAACGGAGCGGGAGTGCAAGGAGAATCCGTCCTCCAGCGCACAGCACATACACAAGCCGCACGCAAGAAGAGCTTGGGAAATATTCAGGATGTGTTTTGGTCAATTCTTTTTCTTATCACACTTCACAAATGTCATCCTTTATCTGTTTCCTTGAAAAATGGAATAAAGCGTTTTAGAGCTGGATTATTTGCCCTGCGTTTTCTTCCCGATGTTTTCTTCCTCTCTCCGCAGGAAATGGAGCGAAAGGCGCAGAGGCAAAGTATGATTGTCAAAGACGAGCAAGTATAAAGAGTGTATTACTGTAACAGGGACAGACAGAATACTGAAAGCTGCCTCCAGAATTTTTTCCACAGATCAAATCACTGTCTCTCTCTCTGCTTCCAATGCAAGTCTTCTAATGTTGCAAAGTCAAAACAAGCATCAGTCTCTCTCCAGCTTATCAAGAGCTCACTGCAGCAGAGGCTGTAGACTGGGCTGCTGATTCGTCTCCTGCCTTGTCCGTGCCTCTCCTGCTATCTATCAAGCGCGTCCTGCTTGCTGGTCTTGGTTTTGGCAGGCCTGTTATCTGCATGCCAAATTGAATCTAGGGTGGGAGATCCTGTCAGAGGCACTGAAACCTGTCACTGGTCTCTGTTCACAATGGAGAACTCACTGTGCACCTACACACTCCTTATAACTCTGTTCCACCTAAATACATCACCTGTACACCCAAAACCATGCCTATACACTTGCCATAGAAAGTCCTGTGGAGCTATCTTTGACATTTTGCTAACGTCAAATCTCATGTCTCTGGTCATGCTAAGCATGATTCATCATACCATTCTACCTAAAAGACAAAAATCTTGTTCTCTTGCAATCCTTCACTGAAGTGTAGTGAGTCTTGCACAGTCTAAAAATGTCATCTGCGTTTTGATTACATCATAAAATTATATTAACCAATTATATTATGATTCATCTCCCTCTCCCACCACCTGAACCAATCACTGAGCAAAATACTCAGCTAACTCAGAGACCCACCTTGATGCCATGTTTCACCAAGAATTACGGAAAATGTGCTGTGATTTTTGATTCACGTTGACTTTGAGTAGTTTTTAATACAGTGGCTGCTTGTGACACTTATTTGCCTTTCTTGGCCATCATTGGCTGTGTTGACATGACATTTGAAAGTTTAAAGCTGCACTACATAAGTGTTTTTTGTTAAAGTCAGGAGGAAAAAACATGTTAAAATACGCTGTCCATGCACTTCTGCGAGAGACAATGTAAAGGTTTTTCAAACAACATCATATGTCTTCACATGCTAATGTCACATGTACAGCTTCAAAAAGGAGATCCCGCTCAATGTTTAAGGTGTCAAGTTCACTTACATCCTCAGAAGGCACATCAAGTTTTGGCTGAAGTTGTCTTGAACACACCCGCAATCATCCAAATCATGTTCAGGGAAGGGTTCTGAAGCAGAACCAACATCCGCACATTGCGTGCAGTTACACATTTCCACCAGAGAGGTCTCCAAATCCCAAATCCAAATCCAAAAATTACTTTTTGCTTAATGATAAGTACTGAAAATGCCTAATCCTAGTAATTTCGCACCCCTTGTGGTCTTGTTGCATGCACTGAAATCAAATTTCTTACTCCTATTTGATATCTGCTTTCCAGACACCCATACACTCTAACTGTAACTCACTATAACCAACTTGTCCACACTCTACAGCCCTCTGCCTCCCCCCGTTTGTACACACATTGTCTTGTCCCAGCTGTACTTAGATGCTCACTACAAGCTCCTATTCTGTACCATATGCTCACTGTACCTTTCTCACATCAACATCTATACATCACAGCTAAACCTCACTGTCCACCCCAGCCCTCCAGCACATGCAGGTGAGAGGTTACGGAAGACCCGCGGCCATTCCTATCAGGAATATTGCATTACATTATTAATTTAAAGCAGGCCTTCATAACGGAGGCCAATCACATTGCCTTCATATTACATCTAAGGAGCGTTCACAGCTTCAGGGAAGGGCAGCTCCCACTGACAGAGCGTAAACTGAGAGTTTTTCATGGGTGTGCGCTAGAGGCCATATACATGGTGCTGTCCAGCACGGTGGGTTACAGAATGAGGAGCCCAGGACATACAGACAGGCCCAAAGAATTACAAAAGCACCACAGGCTCGGGATTTCAGACATATTTGTTTTTCATCAGTGTGTCAAGGGGAATCAGGCGCTAGAGATGGCTTG